GCTTATGCAAACCTTTGCCATAATCCTCTGAAATAGCTTGTAGCAAAAAGAAGAGAGAGAAACAAAAAAGTGACTAGAGGGTTCACCGGCAAACCAGCTGTTCTTCGCTGTCGATCGCCTCAAAGAAATGAATTGCGAGATTCCTTTTCTCGGCCATTACACCGGGCAGTCGTGAAACGGACACCCAAATCAAACGCGCCTACTTCAACCGCCTCTTGGTCTGCCAGTCTATTCGCATGTCCGACTCTGTTTCACAAAGTCTGCCGAAATGACTTGCCTTCTGCTGTGCCACTGGCGCCTCGCCTTTTTATACTAGTCCGACACTGTTCAAATTTGCATGTGTGCTGGTACAATCTCGTTTTGGATGAGACCGGCGCGCACGAATCGCATCCCTGACAGCAGCCATGTTTCCTTTTGGATTTGTCAATTTTTTGTGTCCAGACTTTGCTTGACGTGAATTAGACCAGCTGAGACAAGACTCCGGGTATCGATGGAATTCCCTATGAAGTGTACTTGAGGCAGTCGCATGTATTCATCCCTCTGCTGGCACTGATTTTTAACCAATGGATGAAGAATAGGGATATGCCCGAACGCTTCACCAGAGGTGTGATCAAGTTGCTTCACAAGAATAAACACGGAGGGGATGGGATTAATAATTTCCGGCCCTTAACGATGTTGAATACAGAGTTAAAGATATTGGCCATGGTCTTAGCTAACCGTTTGCAGGCTGTCCTACCTAGTCTGATTGGCCCTGAGCAGACTTGTGCTATGAAGGGTAGGACTATTCATGACAACCTTCATTTGGTGTGCTTGATCGTAGAACAAGTTGACAGTGAAGCCATGCTGATCAATTTGGATCAGTCCAAGGTGTTTGATAGGGTTGACCATCAATTTCTCGGTGCTGTCCTCGAGTCGGCTGGCTTCGGGCCGGTCTTTTGATCCTGGATTCGTCTCTTGTATCGTTCCCCCGGTGCGATGGTGGAGGTGAATGGGTTGAGGTTGAAACCTTTTATTTTGTCCAGATCCATTTGTCAAGGTTGCCTGCTTTCACCGATGCTGTACATTCTTGCATTGGAGCCGTTCTTGTGCAAGTTAAAGGCGAATCCAGTCCTACAAGGAATCACTCTCCCTGGTTCGAACACGTCGGCCAGGTATTCCGCCTATGCCGATGACGTCAGCGCTTTTGTGACAAGCAATGCCGAGATTGATGAAATTGGCAAGGAAATCAGCAGGTATGAGGAGGTGACAGGAGTCAAGATCAACTGTGACAAGTCTGTCGGCTTGTGGTTGGGCACCTGGAAGGGTGTTTCTTTTCCTGGACCCTTCACTTGGACAGACGGGCCTCTCAAGATACTCAGCGTCTGGTTTGGACCCGACCTTCAGTTGAAGAAAAATTGGTTGGAGGTCCGAGAAAAGGCCGAAGCTGTAGCTAGTCTGTGGACTCGGAGGAGGCTTTCCTTAAAGGGGAGGGCGGAAGTTTGTGCCTCGCACATCTACCCCCTTCTTGTTTACCGGCTCTCGGTACTTCCTCTGCCGTCCGCTGAACTAATTTTATTAGTGCGAGTACTGCTTCCCTTCTTGTGGGGTGGCAGGTCTCCTGTGGTGAGTCGGCCGGTCTGTTGCCTCCACCCATCTGAGGGCGGTCTAGGGATGCCCGACGTTGAGATTCGTCAAAAGACGTTGCTGCTCAAGTTCCTGGATCGAATGTGTCACCAAGATGAGGGTGATGGCCTCTTCTGGAAGGAAGATGCTAAGAAAGCATTTCCGTCTTTGAGAAGTGTGCATGAAGGTGAGGAGGAGGCCCGCCGTACTCCTCAGGTCGAATGCTCCTTCTATTGCGAGTGTCGCCGCGCTTTGAAAGAATTTACACGGGTTAAGGAAGGCCTCTCTGACACCTGACTGTTGTCTCCTAGGGCATTATATCGGGTATTAGTGCCGGGGGGGGGGCACTCGAGATACTCTAAGGGATGAGCTCAGTTTGGCGAATGAGGAGTTTAGCTCTCTGTGGCCTTGGGCGTCCGGGTGGCGGTGTCTCAATAACGACAAGGCTGGTGTTGCGGAAGGCCCTCTGGCTCGGCAAAAAGTTCTATAGAGCTGGCTTGGCTGTTACGCAAAATCATGTGTGCTCTTGTGGGGCGTTGAGTCCTTAGGGCACATCTTCTTTGACTGTAGCATCATCGTCACCCGTTGTGCAAGCTGATTGAAGGCTACATGGTCCACGTCCTTGGCGGAAAATACCTTTGTCCTAGAAGCCAGATCCGTATGTAGCAATGTTGTGCCGCAGTTGAAGAGGAATGAACACTATGTGTTCTTGTGTTTACTCGTCATTATGCAAGTTGTGATTTGGATGACGCAACAGAAGGAATTTTATGGAGGTGAGCACCAGCTTAAAATCAAGATTAGAGCGGAAAGGAGGTGGCTCTCTTCATCAAAATTTGGTGAAAGGTGGTTGCATTCTTCGCGTTTGGTTTGCTTGAGAGGGGCTAATTTAGAGTGGCATCTGGAGGTGACATAGGCTTAAGGATATTGGTCGCCTGACTTAAAACATTTGTCATTTAGGGATAGGTTAGAGTAAATCATTTTGGTTTTGTTTCAGTTTGATCGAGTTAACTTAGCTAGGGTATGAATGGTCATTGGCCCCTTTATTTTTGTCTCCCCGTTTTTGGTTCATTTCCCCCCTTCCCTCCCCATTTAGTTGGACGGAGCTTGCAGTTCTCTGGTTAAACTGTGGGATGCCTTTCGTTTTCGAGTGTGTCTTTTCGTTTATTTGTTAGTATGTTTATGTGTGAATGTTAGTAGAGTGAATAATTGAAAGACGGATGAATGGAAATTATTTTATTAATCCCGCAGTATTTTTTCGTCCAGTTAACTGTTTTCTGCCATGATTAGTTTGCGGGGGTGCTGTTACTAACACTATTTTTGTTCATTTGTGTAAATATCTTTATATCACGAACATTGGGGATTTATCATTTATTTATTTTTAAGCCCAGCCCTCCACAAAATCTGTATACATGGGGTTTAGGTAGAATTTCCTTGAGTGGATGTGGTACCGTATTGTGGTGTATGTGTGTGGCAGTGTTGTGTGGATGAGATGTTGTGATGAAAGGAACAATGTTTTGGACGATTGGGTCAGTAAATGAGGCTAGCTAAGTTAGAGGTAAGACAGGTTGAAGACCAGCCTCCCCACTTCCCAATTTTGCCCACGTGGCACATTTGTACTTTTGTACAATATCTCCCCGACAGCAGCCATGTTTCCTTTTGGATTTGTCATGCAAGCAAGACACGTTCGCACACGTTTCGAGCTCCGTGGTAAATCATCACACATTCAAAATCAATACAATAAAAATTAAAATTCTTTTTATTTTATAAGTAGGTCATCTTTTATGTCAGCTGTATTGGAATGTAGTTCGTGATCATATAGGCAATAAATGCTATGTTAGCAGTAGCTTCTTCATCAGTTCACTGCCCTTGGTAAGACTCACCCACGTCCCATGAATTTGATTGTTTTTTAAATTTATTTTTAAATTATTCGTTGACCGACTAAAAGTTTCAATTTAAATTTTATATTAAACTTTTTTTTATTATATTTCAAATTACTTTTTAATAAAATAAATAAATAAGGAAAATATATATTACTTGGATTCGATATTAAACAAATCAATCGTCCACTCAATTCAATGATTCAATTTCAATATCAATGTTCTTTCTTTCTAATTTAGAAAAAGTGTATTGTAAATAAATAAAGCTTGTTTTTTTTTAAAGATAAACATTTTAAATTAAAGGTTCACCTTTCAAAAGATTCATTTTTTTCTGTTTTCTTTATTCTCTCTCTAGCTATTTAAGAACATTGTAAGCAAAGGTCCAAATGATAAACAAATCTTCCTCAGTTTCTCATTCATTACTCATTTTGAAGAAACAATGGAAAAAAAGTGCATAAGTTTGTTTAGTGTTTTACTTTTCACTGATTTTCATAACTACTACTGTCAATAAAACAGATTTTCGGAATACCTTTCTTCTCTTTGTTTTTCTCTCTCTTTTTAATGATTGAAAATACTTAGAAAATAAGCTTAAGTTATTGCTACATTTATTTGTTCAATGATCAGCTAAAAAAGAAAAAAGGTTGTCAGCTACTTTAAGGCTTTAAATAAATTTGTCTAAATTATTAAAATAATTAATTTATTGCAATTATTTTCATTGAAAATGAAGGCAAAAACTTTTACACTGAACTTCACCTACCAGTATTTCCTACGCACTGTACGTACCATAAACAAGTACAAACCATAATTAAATTATGCAAAAATAATGTTCTTAATGAGGTAGAATTTGTTACGACACCGATTTGGTGTACTGTAACTGGTAGTGTAAAAAAAAAAAAAGAAGATATATTTACTCTGACTCATTACAGATTATAAGAAGAATAGGCCTCTAGCATAATTATGGATTATTTTAATAAATACATAATTTATTTTAAAGAAAGATTTAAGTGTAAATTCTTCATCGTGTTGGAAATGAAAAAAGTTCTGTTTACTATTTTTGCAGAGGTCGGCAAAGTTGATTATTATTATTATTCCACCGTGGCTATATTTGGCATTTACTTGGTGTCACTATTGATGTGAAGATTAATAGATGTCGACATCTACTAATCACATTTTTTTTAGTGTTAGCTGCAATGACGGTAAATTAATTTTGATTACTGAGCGATATAATATAAATGTGTGGCTAAATAAATTCAAAACAAGCCATGTTTTGTTTGAGGTCACATGTGACACACTGGTCGATAAGCTTATAAAAAAAAAAAAAACACACACACACACTCAAAGCAAATCGATCATGAAGTTTTGACTTATATTTATATTGAATCTAACGTCCATCCTTTTACTTTGTAATAATTTATAAACTTGTGTAAATTCAGAAACTTAGTGAAGAAAGAAGAAATTCCCATCCTATTATAATTTTAAGTAAAGAAAATAAGCAAAAAAAGTACAAAGAAAGCTTCTCACCTGATCAGAAGTTCCAAAATTACGACATTGCTACAACAACCTAGAAATACTAGGCAAATAGGTAAAACCGGATGCATGTCGAAGCTTTAGTTTAGGCAGCCTAATAAATAATTTTCTGTTAAGCTTTACTGGATTCTTTCTTTTTAAAGCTTTTAATGACGTATAATTATGAGCAAAATCCCTATATAAAACTCATATGTTACTTCTGTGTCGTCTGCAGGTAATTTCCTTTAAGTGACTCAGTTTTTTTTTTTTTCTTTTCCAATGCCGCTTGCAACCAGCACAAATAACACCGTTAAAAACTGCTCAGAAATGTAAAAAAAAAAATATTTTTAGATGAAAAATAATTCTATCATTCCAGAAATAATTTTTGCAAATGAATTCTATACTTAAATGAAACTGGTAATGTTTTTATAATTTCTATTATTTATTTTTCAATGACAGTTGGGTCTTCAATTAGCAGTAGGATTTTTAGCTAGGACAACAAAAAAGATGGCCGGATATTTAGATGTGCTGCGACGCTAAACTTAAAAAAAAAGAAAGAAAAGCTCTTGATTATTGAAGGATGAATACTAATTGTGTACGAAAGGTAAGCTTTGACTTTAAATTATAATTTAAGTATATCTATATTTGAAATACTTAACCTTTATCGATACACAAGCAGTTTCCACCTGGTAATAAGAAAAAGAATTGATCTTTCCTTTAACATTCACAAGTAACACATTCGGCTTCTTCTCTTTTCGCAACTACTAAAACAGAACAGCACAATCCTTTTTAATACCTTTCCTGGTTGTATTTTTACTTTATTTAAATCGTTAAGTTCGATTGTTTAAAGTAAGGATTGATTTTAATAGCAAGATCTTGAAGTATTTCTTTTTATTCAATTTTTAAGTCTATGAAACTGCCGGTATTTTCCTTTCTTTTTTTGTCTTGTTCAATGATAAGGCCGTAGAGTTATCTTCGCTCGTGTTTACCTTATTTAGTTTTTATGAACAGAAGACGATAAGAAGAGAAGGCAGCTGCGGCCGCTAACTATACAATTTTTATTTTTACTTTCCATCTCTTTTTAGCATTTTCTATATACTTTCACGTTGCTTTTTTTGTTTGAAGACGACATCTTCTTAATTGAATTTCAAACCAGTCACTCGTAATGAAATATACTACTACTCATAAATCGAGTTTTTGAAGATAAAATTTAAAAAAAATTCTGATATTTGAAAACTTAAGAATTTTTTAATTAGAGAAAAAAAAATTCGAAGCAAGTCCAACTTTGAAACAGTAAAGTTTTCCTAACAGTAATTTTATTTATATTTGTTTAAAAAAAAAAATGACATGGACCTGAACCAAATTAAAAAAAAAAACGAACTTAAATAAAAATTTTAAAATAATTCCTTACTCTTTTTTTTTTTTTTTTTTTTTTTTATTCAGACTTCATTCAACCTCAAATGTTGAGTCAATTGAAATAATTATCTCTTTCTCTTTGCATTGATTAATTAAAATTTAAAAGTTTCTTTAAAAAAAATCCTTTTTGCATATCAAACCGACCGGTAATACACGTTTTTAAAATATAAATATTTCCACTTTGATTCTTTCATTTTTTTATACCACATTTTTTAAAAATAATACCATAAAGTTTGAATTGTGAAACTTGAGTCGAGACCCCTCCTTTTTGGGTGGCGGGGGGGGGGAGAGCTATTTAAAAAAAATTGGGAATTGTTTCAATGCGTTTTTTTTTTCTTTATTTTTTTATGTTAATTTTTTCTTTGAATGTCAAAAAGGAAAAACCTTTAAATTAATAATTAAGTTTAATTTCTAATCCTATTTAGTACGTCGAAAAATAAGCACATTGTGACATAAGGCTTTAACAACTCGTATGATTTGTTGTGCCTTTTCGGTGTCCTATTTCATTCCTGTGGACTTTTCTAAAATTTGAGTACATTTCGTTTCATTCATTTATATACACACGCCTACACATTTCTTCTATGAACTGGTTGAATATGAATGAAATTGAAATATCATTCATTTGTTTAAAAAGGTTAATGAGAATGCATCTTGATTTCTTTTTGCGTTTGTGAGAAATAGTGCCGTAAGTAACAATGGAATTATTTACAAGTTTGCATTAATTTTAAGGTAAAAAAATAAAGTAAAATTGTTTTTGTATACATAACTTTATCAAGTCCTTTTGTGAAACTTGCCTTATTGCAAAAAACAAAATTGAATTTGTTTTTATCTCGTAATTAAATAATTTGTCTGAGATTATCACAGCACACGTGAACTGTTGAATGAGTTGTGAATTTGATTCTGAAACAAACAGTTTTGTTTTGACTTTTGGTAGACTTGTCCCATTCCTGCATTCCCGATTATAGTCAATAATTCATAATTTAACCAATCTTAAGGTTTGGTGTAAGCAACAAATGTTAGGGCAAATTATGTTAAGGAAGGAGTCAATAAAATGAGGAAAAACTAACTCAACGAAATTAAAACCGTCTTACAGTTTAAAAAAAAGAAAAAGAAGGTGGGGGTTGATCAGTTGCTGTTTTTGTTCCTTAAATTGTAGCTGATGTACTGTATAGTCTTCTTTTGTGGCTAACAACTGCATATCGTTGGTAAATGCTTCCGACACGCACAAGTATTTAAGAGATTATCCTCCATTTGTACTATCGTTTCGTGTTAAGTTTTACAAAATAGGTACATATTGCAAATCTAAGTAAAATGCTAATGTTTTGCGATAAAGGTCACGTACTAGTACGGTACTTTTACTTTTGCTACACTATCATTGCTTTCAGGAGAGTGGGTGCGATAGATCATCGAGAAAGCTCAGTAAAAGCACTACTTGGTTCTTTTACCCCCTGTACTGCTGGCTGTTTTGCAACATCTGTAGCAATGTGGATGCCTTTTCCTTCCACATTATGGGGAATTGACTCTTTTTTTTTTTTTTTTTTAAGGCTCTTACTTTTTCCCCCTTTTTTCTTTTGCCTGTTGTGCTACTCTTGAATGAATACCGGTGGCCACGTACTTGTCAAATCCACGAAATTTGAAATAGATGCTCACCTTTGTTAAAGCGAGAAAAAATTTAGACACGTGTGGTTTAGAGTGATGAGATAATTGAAACTACTGCAAGTGAAAATGTGCAATGTACCTCTGTTTTCTGCTCCAAGTTTTAGATACTCACTAGTAAACTAGATCTCGCAAATTGTTCTCCGCTTTTTGTCCCTTTAATTGATGTATTGTAATTGTTGGGAATTCAATAGTGAGTGACCCTTATAAATAAAAATTGCATTAATTTGAGTTTAGTGGTTATTTGAAATCATTGAAAACTAAAAGATATAATCTACCTTGCTGATTTTTTTTAATATTTCAATCTTTTTAGGTCATTGTATTTCACATACTAAAATTTGAGAGCCTTTTTTTTTTTTCCAAGGGCGTGTAAAAGTTAATACGCCAACATTTGAGAATAATATTCTTCAAAATTTGACTCTAATATTTTTTTTTTTTTTTTCTAAATTGCTATTTTTATTATTTTGAATCAACCAACTTTGTTCAACTATAGTTGTCGTGATTCTAGTTTTGACGCCTTAAATCCTGTTGATAAGTGTCCCACTTTCACTTTCTTTTCCATTGTTTTTTTTTTTTCTCTCATGGTTTCAAGGAGACACATTCTTCCTTTTCAATCTTACTTTCATCTAATCAATAGTAACGTTAATAATTTTGATGGGGATGTTAATTGTTAATTATAGAGAATCAGAATTTGCAAAACTTTGGAGAATTTTTGGTTATTTAAGACTTCAGATTACGTTCCTGTCAAAAGTCAAAACTATTGTTATATTGTTCAACATAAATTCACACCTCAATATAATGATGGTATAAAAAATACTTAGCTTTTAAATAAAGAACTGATCATACTTGGTTGCTAGTATTTTTTGTAGGAAAGTTTAGTGTCTTTTTTGCAGTGAAAAACATTGATTTGAGAATTCTTGTAAAAATCAAATAATCGTCGGATTTTAATGAAACTTTCAGAATTTATTCACAAATGAATTAAAAATTGTTTTTAGAAATTTTTCTTTTTTAGAAAATCTTAGTAAAAACATTTTCTTTCCTTTTTTTTTTTTTTTTTTTAAACATCTGTTTCCCCCCTTCCCACTTATTTAATTTTATGAAATTAACTTTTTTTGTATTAATGGATGCTATTGCCTTAAGAAAACATTTTTTTTTTCAATGAATAATGAATTTTTACAAGGATTGTTTCAATTTTTTTTTTCAATATTAATTAAAATAATTTGTTTTAAATCTTAATTTTCTGTATTAATTTGTACCGATTAGGTAATAAGTAATAAAAACTATATTTACTAATCATAAATGGAAAAGCTTACTATGATTCTTTGACCCCAATATTTTAAAAATAATTTCGAAATTTTTGTGTGTATATGTGCCAATTTTTGTAAATATAGATGTCCATACATAACATTATCAGAAAATAAGAGCAATAACTACCTAAAATTCGTTAAAACATTAGATTACAGAGGATAATTTCCTAAATTTTTAAAATTACTAGGTAGTTAAAAATTGTTAAATAAAAAAAAAGAAGAAAAGTCGCTTATGTTATTTTCCTCAATTAATTTAAAAATATATCCACAATATAAAAAAAATTAGATAAACTTCCACTTGTCACTCAAGCTCTCAACCTGTCAACACCTTAAATAAGCAACTACCTCCGTGTTAAAAAATGCATTTCTGCAATATTAAACTAAATAATATTTGTTTTAAATCAGATTAATTAAATTGGCTAATATTCCTCAAATAAAGTTTCAGAAAAGTATATTTTCTTTTTTAAAGACTTTTTAATAAAGAGAATTATATTGTGCTGACTGATGGCACTAAAATCATTGTTTTGTAATTTCAAAACAAAAACTCCTTCCAATCAAATTAGTTTTGAAATACTGCAAAATCTTTTGCTTATTGGAAATATTAAATTTAATTTAGCTTCAAATTAAAACTAAAATGAAAGCTTCAAAAAATTTTTTTTTTAAATTCAATTTTAAACCTTAGGTATCACATTTCTGTGGTGTTACCTACATAA